AAATGGGTATGAAAGGGAAAAATTATGCTTGACTGAACACGAAGAACATACATTCAACAAAATATCAATGCAACACTTTTGGTTTGGCTCCCATTTTGTATGAGATGAAATCAAAGATTTTAAACTTTTTTAACAATATCACCATTTCCCTATAGTATTGTTCACAAACCAGTATAAATTTGTGATATTGAGCACTTCTCCTTTGCTGAGATAATCCATCCCACCTCACAGGTGTGCCACATCAAGATGCAGATTAGACACCATGATTAGTGCACAGGCGTGCCTTAGACTGCCAACAATAAAAGGCCACTCAGAAAGGTGCAGTTTTATAGCAGCAGAATGCCACAGATGCCACAAGAGTTGAGGGAGTCTGAAATTGGCATGCTGACAGCAGGAATGTCAACTAGAGCTGTTGCTCGTGTATTGAATGTTCATTTCTCTACCATAAGCCGTCTCCCAAGGTGTATCAGAGAATTTGGCAGTACATGTGTAACACCAGCCCAGGACCTCTACATCCAGCATGTTCACCTCCTAGATCGTCTGAGACCAGCCTCTGAGACAGCTACTGAAACAATTGGTTTACATGACCAAAGAATTTCTGCACAAACTATCAAAAACCATCTCAGTAAAGCTCATCTGCATGCTCGTTGCCCTCATTGGGGTCTCCACCTGACTCCAGTTTTTCATTGTAACCGACTAGAGTGGGCAAATGCTCACATTAACTGGCATCTGGCACGTTGGAGAGGTGTTCTTTTCATGGGTGAATCCCAGTTTAAACTGTTCAAGGCAGGTGAGAGACGGCGTGTGTTGCGTTGTGTGAGTGAGCCGCATTCTGATGTCAATGCTGTGGATCGAGTGGCCCATGGTGGAGGTAGGGTTATGGTATGGGCAGGCGTCTATTATGGACAAAGAACACAGGTGCATTTTATTGATGGAATTTTGAATGCACAGAGATACCTTGACGAGATCCTGAGGCCCATTTTTGTGCCATACATCCAAGAGTATCACTTCATGTTGCAGCAGGATAATGTACGGCCCCATGCTGATCTGTACATAGTTCTTGGTAGATGAAAACAACCCAGTTCTTGGCCGGCAGACTCACAAGACATGTCACCCATTGAGTATGCTGGAATAGCTGTGCTACATTGTTTAGTTGTTGGTCTTATTTATTTAGAGATTTATTTCTGTTGTAATTCACCATCTGTAGTGCTGACCTANATTAGATGTTTTTGAACTCTGTATTTTTTCCATGAATGAAGCCTTCAATTTGCTTTAAAATGGGTATGAAAGGGAAAAATTATGCTTTTCAAGCAACTGAACACAAAGAACATACATTCAACAAAATATAAACCCAACACTTTTGGTTTGGCTCCCATTTTGTATGAGATGAAATCAAAGATTTTAAAACTTTTTTAACAATATCACCATTTCCCCTTAGTATTGTTCACAAACCAGCCTAAATTTGTGATACTGAGCACTTCTCCTTTGCTGAGATAATCCATCCCAACTCACAGTTGTGCCATATCAAGATGCAGATTAGACACCATGATTAGTGCACAGGCGTGCCTTAGACTGCCAACAATAAAAGGCCACTCAGAAAGGTGCAGTTTTATCACAGCAGAATGCCACAGATGCCACAAGAGTTGAGGGAGTATGAAATTGGCATGCTGACAGCAGGAATGTCTACCAGAGCAGTTGCTCGTGTATTGAATGTTAATTTCTCTACCATAAGCTGTCTCCAAAGGCGTATCAGAGAATTTGGCTAACCACACCAGCCCAGGACCTCTAAATCCAGTATATTATACTTCAGTATCAACTGAGACCAGCCTCTTGGACAGCTAGTGAAACAATTGGTTTACATAACCAAAGAATTTCTGCACAAACTATCAAAAACCATCTCAGAGAAGCTCATCCACATGCTCGTTGCCCTCATTGGGGTCTCCACCTGACTCCAGTTTTTCATTGTAACCGACCGGAGTGGGCAAATGCTCACATTAACTGGCTTCTGGCATGTTGAAGAGGTGTTCTCTTCATGGATGATTCCCAGTTTACACTGTTCAGGGCAGATGGAAGACGGCGTGTGTTGCGTTGTGTGAGTGAGCCGCTTTCTGATGTCAATGCTGTGGATTGAGTGGCCCATGGTGGAGGTAGGGTTATGGTATGGGCAGGCGTCTATTATGGACAAAGAACACAAGTGCAACTTATTGATGGAATTTTGAATGCACAGAGATACCTTGACGAGATCCTGAGGCCCATTTTTGTGCAGTTCATCCAAGAGTATCCCTTCATGTTGCAGCAGGATAATGCACGGCCCCATGCTGATCTGTACATAGTTCTCGGAAGATGAAAACAACCCAGTTCTTGGCCGGCAGACTCACCAGATATGTCACCCATTGAGCATGTTTTGAATGCTCTGGATCAGCGTATACGATAGCTATACTAGTTCCTGCCAATATACAGTAACTTCGCACAGCCATTGAAGAAGAGTGGACCAACATTCCACAGGCCACAATTGACAACCTGATGAACATTATGTGATGGAGATATGTTGCACTGCATGAGGCAAATGGTCGTCACAACAGATACTGGCTGGTTTTCTGAGTAATGTGTAGATCATATGTCGCACAGACAGTATTCCATTTTCTAATCTCAGCTTATTTATCAAATTTTACCCTTGTAAACCACAATAAAAAGTCGGACTTAAAACTCCCTACTACTGTATGTTTTTGAAGAGTTTCTTAAAATTCTGTGAAGCAGGCAAGCTGTGACAACAATGCACTTAGCTCTTTCAAAGGTAAACTTTATAGCTACTTTCTCCCCATTAGTAAGCCTACCTTTTCGAACATGTTATGAACAATATGTTGGTAATATTCTAATAATATCTGCAGAAATGGACTTTCACTGATGTCTATTATGCTTTATGCTGGTGAAACTTCTGCTTTATCTTTTGCACCATGGTACAAATGAGTTGTTTACTCTTTCTAGAGCAGGTGCTCAACTAGAGTAATGTATTTAAACAGACACAACAAGCATATGCTGGAATAGCTGTGCTACATTGTTTAGTTGTTGGTCTTATTTATTTAGAGATTTATTTCTGTTGTAATTCACCATCTGTAGTGCTGACCTATTTCTAACAGCAACTGCATTTACAAAAGTATGTTACTCACAAAACTAGCTTACCTATACGTAAATATTGTGTACACTTTTGGAGCTGTTCCTGCAACTTTTGTTACTGTCAATGACATCGACACATGAAATGTTTAATGATGACCGACTGACATTTCTTTTCTGTTTTAAAAACATATATCTTAGCAGTCAACAATATGCTAGTGATATGTTTTCTTTATTGGCAGTCATTATTTAATGACAAAGAAAATAGACATTCATTTATATTTAAGAATAAAATGATTAAATGTAAATGCATTATCTTTAGCAACGGAAACTCAGTATGTTTTCCTTTTCTCTAAACCATTAATTTATGTGATGAACCTTATCTTGTCATTTTGCATAGTCGAGGAATTTCTGTTATATATAATATAATGTCAGGGGTGTCAGACCTGCAGGCAGGAGGGAGAGCACTTTGGTTAAAGGAGCAGAAGATCATAAATTTAGCCTATGAAGGAGCCTCCAGCTGTGCTCGGCTACACAGACCCTTTTCTGTAAAGTAAATGAGACCGAACATGGCTGCAGGATGTTTGAGGCCTTGTTATAAACGACTCAGCAGAAAATCTGCATATAGACTGCTGTTCATCTTGACAGTCCAGCTGAGGCAATAATGAAGCTCTCACAAGACCTATAAATATTGATGCAACACACCTAATATTTATTGAGATCTGTGGTAAAGATATTTAAGAACTCATCAACAAATTATCTTTAGGTTCCTGGAATGTGCTGAGCAATAGGGTACCACCCACCCAATCTGTCAATCCACTGTTAATCTGTCTGTAATTTTTTAAAAAGGGTAACATCATTGCCACTGATTGCTTAATGTTTTCACCGTTTGGGAATCTCTTGAGATGTCTTTCGTGTTTTCGTACATACAGATAGGTTGTAATCGGCAAAGAAGTGCTGCAATCAACACTGAAAAAAAGAGCAGGTTCAGCTGAGGTTAACAATATGGCCAGCATCAGTCCATTTCAACAAATTCTTTTTCTATGGAATCCTCTTAACTGTAAGGCGTGCAGCCAGTGTCCAATGTTGTCCTGTTTCATGGAAGCCACAGCCTCTTTTTTGAGGGATTATTTGAGGGAGAGTGGGGGAGAGCTGCGTCATAAATCCATTGGATGTTATTTACCTTTGTTGAAGGGAGCTGACACTGTGCTGTAGAAGCAACACTAATCTGCTGATATTCTGCAGGCAGAAATGTTAGAAAGAGTGTTCTCAGGAGGGTTATAGGTAAATATGCAGACAATTTATTGCTTTTAAACTAGCAGAAACTGGCAGAATCCTAAATCTCTTACTTTTTCCTAAATCTCAATAAGAACATGTCATACAAAGAGTCACAAAAGCAAAAAAATGCAATGGGAGTATGCATTTGCTTCAAATTTTATTTTACTTTTATGTTTAACTTAGTGTCCTAATATTGACAAAAACATTTCTGTACTCTTACAGCAGTGATATCTCGGAGCAACGAGGGTCCAGGCGAGATGGGAAAAGCAGTAAACATCCCAAAAGACGACCAGGAGAAGATGAAGGAGCTTTTTAAGATCAACCAGTTCAACCTGATGGCCAGCGACATGATTGCCCTCAACAGGAGTCTACCAGATGTCAGATTGGATGGGTGTGTAAGCTTCTGCTTCCACATGACTGCAGGGAATCACATTACTGTTCTGCCCATTAAACAGCTGCTGCAACAAATCTATACAGGGAAATCAACCCAGGAACATGCTCACACTTTCCGTTAGGAGAAAGGGCTGCAGATAGCGATGCTGTCTGCAAAATTAGATAAAATCTTTCGATGTCGTTTTATTTCATGTTTAAGTCATTTGAATAATACAATGTTTAAGTGAAAATGTTTAAAGGTAAAGTGGAGTATTTTTGTGAACTTGTGAAAAGACCCACCCTTCCCAAAATGCTCATGCACAACCCTGTTCCCGCTCCCAACAGGAAACGACTTTTAAAAGTATACGAGAGCATGCACAAGCCCATTTCTCCTTGTGCATGCTCTGTTTAAACGTAGATGTTTGCATCGCTCATACAAGCTTACTTTCGTAAGGAAGATTTGTGTTTTTACTTACGACTAGTAAGTGAAAATGTAGATGAGCACATAGGATGGCCTTATATAATTATATATCACCAGAATGATTGACAATTAGGAGACCACCTATTTTGATTATCCACCTGGAAAAAGAACTTCCTTCATTATACCTTTAAAGTCGTAGGGAAGTCATATTTAAATGTCAAATCATTCTGGCTTAAACATCTATATAAATGTACTCTTTATTAGACTAAATTGTACCAAAAGTTAGAAAATATCTATTTAAAAAAATCCTGTCTTAAAATCTGTGTTTTGTTTTTTCTCGTTATCTTCTGCAGGCTAGTTAGTTATACGTTAGCTTGTACGCCTGAATTTGGCCAATCATTTATCAGCGGTCTTCTGTCAATCAAATTTTTTCAGTCATAGCATCTTGATTCATTTGTCACAGCTAATATACGACTGATTGAAACGATTGAAATATGAAATAAGAATCATTTACATTATCATTGAGTTACGTCCCAGTGTTCCTGGGGATGGACGTCTGTGTTTTCGGCAGGCGTAGAGCTAACAGAACTGGCAGCGTTGTGAGGCAAGGGCTCAAACATGTACGGCTTTACGCCTTCTACATCAAGTGAAGCTTCTGCCGCCCTGGCGTCCTCTTTTACAACAACTTGTCCCCGCTTTCCTCCTCTAAATAAAAAACGTATGACATAGGAGACTCATCCGAAACCTCCGAGACAAAACTCTCCTCCTCTTGCATGTTTCCACTGTCCATAGCGTTCCTTGACAGTGCCGTTTCTAAGTGCTACTTGGTCCCAATGTAATTTCCCATTGGGAACCTACTAGCACTAAGTTGCTAACTGGTTACCAAAATGCTTCCTACAAAACCGGCCACAACCAAACTTGCTTGCGAACCTTTCACCACAACAATCCCGCCCCCTTTGATAGACGACCAATCACATTCACTTTATTTACTCATGTAAAGTTGGGCACCAATCGGGAGAATTCGGAAATGCTTCTCTACGACTTAACACTTATTTTTTTTCAATCTGACACTTTTTTCCAGTAACAGTGCATTGCAGATATTTTGATTGAGTATGGTACTATTCTGTGTGAAACTTTTCAAGTATGACTGAGTGTACAGTGAAAACTGTACAGCATCTGCAGCAGTGTAGACATTGTGCTCTTTTATTGTTTGAATATAGACAAAAACAAAGCTATAACTTAATAGATCCATCTACAAACTTATCGTCAGGTATTTCCAGGAGCCACAACTTGTGACCAGAGGAATAAGATTGTTCAGATAAAGGGCCAAATGGGTGACTGTTGTTGCTTTGGTTATAATGGCAGATGTTTTAATACTAAGCTGCCACTTTATAAGCAAAGCTTGCTGGTCATGCTGTAATAATTTCAGGTGGTTATCAATGTCATTAAGGGTGAAGATATACACAAATTGTATTGCTTGCTGTAAAAGGCTAGAACAGAAAATGAGTAGGTTGAGTCTGGTTTTAAAATACCCACCCTCCCCCACCCTAAAAAATTAAAATACTCCTCATATTTTGTTTTCCAGTCATTTGGTGTTTTCTTTCGCAATGCAAAGAATTGCTGCTGGCCTAGTGACAGGTTTCAATGCACCTGCTACTGGTTGTAGACTTTATAGGGCATGGAAAATTTAGGATTACAAATTGGCTTTAGATTTTTATTTTTCCTTTTTTCAAGACAAAGTACTTATAGAAAAATATGCATTGTTAAAAAAGTGTGAGAAGCATTTTTTCAGTCCTTGATTTAGTATGTGTTTTTTAGATTAGCAGATGGAAAGGGTGAACTTGATTAGCTCGCATCATGTTTAGGTACAGTTTCCCTCAGTAGCTTAAGGTCTGGTGATAGAAGAGGTCCTTGCACTGAGAAGACTGAATAGGACTGATTGGTGTATGTTAAAAGGCTAAAGATTTTTAATTAATGCTATGGTAGAAATACTTATGAAGTCCTCTTAAAGGTATAATGGAGGATTTTCGCAAATTATTGAAAAGACCCGCCCTCTCCACTGAAAAAAAACAAACATCATTTATAAAAAGAATCTACATGTACAACCCTGTTCCCACTCAAGAGAGGGAGCAGCAAGAGCATGCATAAGCCCATACCTCCTTGTGCATGCTCTGTTTAAAAGTTGCTGTGTGCACTGCTCATACAAGCTTATTTTCCAAAAGAAATTTTTCCAATATGTCAGACTCACGTAGCACGTAGGACAGCCTAATGTAAACATATCACCAGAATGATTGACATTTACCTTTTTGATGATCCACCCGGAAAAAGAACATCCTCCACTATACCTTTAAGGCAAAATACAATGACACTATTATACTTATATTGATGATTTCAACTGAGCCGTGAAAAACAGATTTAATTTTTTTTAAGAATCTGTATTCTGTCTTGGAGAACTTTAGATGCTATGATTTTGTCTCATTCTCTGTTTTTGTATTTATATGATTTTAATGTTGACTCTATGACTTTCACTGCTATACACTGTTAAATAGCGCAAATGTGGTTGTTTTACTTTTGCTTAAATACTTTTGTTTGGGTCTTGTGTGCTGTAAACTATCAGTATAGAAATGTTAGACCATGGCTGACTGTGGTGTTGGGAGTGCAAGGCATTGGGTTTCATTTATTGAGGATAACTAAAACCCAACACCATGGATGAATAGAACAAATGATTAATCTACCCCAAAAAACTAGATTTAGATTTTTACTATCAGCAAGGTGTTTCATAAAAAAAAAAAAAAAAAGTTGGAGGAAGAGCTGAGATGTAAAATGAAACATGTCTTTTCTAAGAGACATGTGGGCAGCTGGTACACGCAGTTACTGCAGTTTCTTTCAAGGGTTTTGGGTATTTTACTTCTTAATTTTATTGATTTAGTAATAATTATTCCCATTTTTTGTGATATCCATAGACTTGTAAAAAAACTATGTGACAAAAGTGACATGCAGATCTGCCTGTCCTGTTAGTACATGTGTGTACCTTTATTGTAAAAAGCCTTTTATTTGGCCCTTAATGTTTTTTTTTGTTTATTAAAGGTGTAATAAAACCAGGCATACATTTTCTTGAAGCTGGCATCAGCATATAAAAGCTAAAAGTATTTTTTAAATCTACCTGTTAAAAACAGGGTCGTCTTATCTGATTGAACTCATTGCTTACCTTTAGCAATGCTAACCACCAGGTTTAAAGCATCCTTTACATTTGGATGTGTTATATCAGGGGGAGATCAAACATGAGTAGGACAACAATTTATCCTGAGGACTGAAGTTAAACATCGTTGGTAGTTGTTGATTTTCCATTGCTCTTGTTTTAGATTAGGTGACAGAGAAAAGGTGAACGGTCAGCTGATTTCAGCTCCAACATTTTCCATCCAGCTTAGACCAATCGTTCTCTCCATAAAAATATTGCAATAGATTTATTACAGTATTCATCTTAGCCCCTCAAAATCTTTGCAGCTATGCAGTGAGAAATCTGCAGATATGTTAAGATATATCCATGAAGGGCAATACTACTTTTCCTTTAAGGCAACCTCCTGGCCTAGTTCTGTCAGTCTAAGATGTCATATCCAATATACAGGACCAAACGAGCAATGCTGTCTGCATCGGTGGCTTTCTTCACCCTCCGTCACTTCTCCCCACTCCTAGTCCTGCCATTCACAGCACTCTTGCTGTCCACTTCTGTAATGTAGCGAATTCTTTATTCAATAACATCGACTGGTTTATGGCAGTCTCACCGTTATTCTTTCGCAAACATCACATCAAGCCAAGGACATGATGACATTGCTGTCAGCACTGAATTTGCTTCTTTCCTCCCCTTCACAGTGAGAATATTTCTGCACCGGTGGCAGCGTTTGAAGAGCAGCAGGATTGCAAAACTCTGCTCTCAGACTCTTTAATGTGCTGCTTTTATTTCTAACAGCATAAGTTGAAAGCAATTCACTCACACAACATTTTTGATGTTGTTAATCTGTCTCAGTTTTTTAGACAATTGTCTAGACATTTTTACACATTTTGAACCCACCCATTAACAGTAAATGTAAATACTTTAATAATGCTACATTTGAAACTGCATGAAGTTGACTTCTTTGTTGACCATATTTATCATATTCTACATATTTAATGTATTTTCAGTATTGCTTTGTTTATTTGTCTTTTTTCAACTAGTTTTTTAACCTTAAACTTTGTGTCCTTCAATTGTGTAATTGTAAAAAACACTCCTCTCCCTCAGTCAGTTTACTTTCTTAAAGCTACAGTGTGCAATAATTACAAGGATTACCTGATAAAAATGTTCTATATTATATATATATATATATATATATATATATATATATATATATATATATATATATATATATATATATATATATATATATATCCCAGCGTTTTATTGTTATTACACTGTCACAAGTACAGAGCAACGAAATTAACTCTCTGCATTTAACCCATCCCCTTGGGGAGTAGTTAGCTGCCACCGGCAGTGCCTGGGGAGCATTGTGATGTTAAGGGTCTTGCTCAGGGAGCCAGAGTGGCAGTCTGTGGGAGTGGGGCTTGGACTCAAAACCTCTGGATTCCAAGTGCCATGCCCTAACCACTAGGCCTCCACATTTGCCCCCCATCCCCCCGAACAGCTCTGGTCACCTCTAGAGGAGGTGTCCCCCACACTTAGGAAAGCCCTGGTATATCATGTATGAAATGCTTATTGTTTAGTTGTCCTCAAAGGAAACCCCACGCATGATAGGATATCAGGTCAAGAGAGTATGACATGTTGGATTCCCATGATTTGCGATCAGACTCCGGATGTTCTGAACAGAATTCATCACTGAACGCACCAAACACGGCAGGATTAGATCTAGGATCCGCACCTCTCATAATAGGAAGATTGGGGAGAAATTGGCATGCTTATCTCGCTGTGTAAACCCCCCTTTAATGATAAAAAAATATTGTTTATCTACAAATAATACTTACTGTATATCTACTTATGCTCTAAGTTAAATACCAGCCCAACATTCAGCAGGTCTATATGCCATCAATCCAGCCCTTCTGATCAATAGATATCTTGTTATGACTTGGGTTCTGTGACACTTAAACATTAGCAATGAATCAAGAAGATCTGTGGAATATCATTTGAGGTTTGTGTTGATCAGACCTCCTCAGATCTAGTCTACAAACAAAGAATTAAACTGTTTAAGGAGGCCAGTGTTGTATATTTGTAGATTTTATTCCACTGATTTCTCTTGTCTGTGTTTCCCTGTTAGCTGTAAGACCAAGATGTACCCAGATGACTTGCCCAACACCAGCATTGTCATCGTGTTTCATAACGAGGCATGGAGCACCCTGCTGCGGACCGTTCACAGTGTCATCAATCGCTCCCCGAGGCACCTACTAGTGGAGATCGTCCTGGTGGATGATGCCAGTGAGCGAGGTTGGTAGTTTTGACTCTGACTTATAACCCTCCCTGCACTGACTAAAAGGACATGTTAGATCAAGGTGTGTCCACCAACTAGTATCACAAGTGTCTACAATCTTGCAATCAGTCAGTGGCTTTTATATTGGGCTACAGGTAGTCACCGTACTGTTTTGTGACATGGTTTGTTGTGTCGTGTCATGTGTTTAGTGACGGGTCCACTTAACATGGACCTGAGGAAGAGAAGTAAGGAATTTGTCTCATGAGATTAGAACTACATTTTTGCCAAGCATGTTAAAGGAAAAGGCTATAGGAACATCTCTAAGTAGCTTGATGTTCCTGTGACTACACTTATATGTATTATTCAGAAGTTTAAGATCAATGGGATTGTAGCCAACCTCTCTGGACATGGCAACAGGAGGAAAATCAATGGAAAATCAAAGAGACAGACAATACGAATGGAAAGAAAAAAGATCCCAGAAAAACTTCTAAAGAGATTAAAGGTGAACTTCAAAATCAAGGAACATCAGTGTCATGTTGGATCATCCGTAATTGTATGAGCCAAAGTGGACTTTAAAGGAGACGACTAAAGAGGACAGTGTTGAAACAAATCATAGAAAAGCCCAACTGGAATTGGCCAAACTATCTGTTGACAAGACATGAAGCTTATGGGAGAATGTCCTATGGATTGCTGAGACAAATATGTAGGTTTTTGGCAAGACGCATCAAGAAAAAGAACACCGTCTTTAATTTGAAACACGGAGGAGGCTCTGTTATATTCTGAGGCCGCTTGCCTCATCTTGCACAGGGTGTCTTAATTCTCTGAAATCTCAATAATATCAAGAGATCCTAGAGAGAAATGTGCTGCCCAAGGTCAGAAAGCTTGGTCTCAGTCGCAGGTCATGGGTCTGTTACAATGACCCAAACACAGCTAAAAGAATTGCTATGAGGAAAACATTGGAGGGTGCTGATTTGGCCCTCTATGAGCCCTGACCTAAATCCTATTGAACATCTTTGGAAGGAGCAACGTGGAAGGAAACATACCATGTGGAAAAGGCACCCCTAAAAACCTGAGAAAAGTGGAGCTGTTTGCTAATGAGGAGTGGACCAAAATACCTGCAGAGAGGAGCAGAAGTCTCAGTGACAGTTACAAGAACTGTTTATTTTCACTAATTGCCTCAAAAGGTTGTGCAACAAAATATTACTCTGAGGGAACCATCTTTTCTGCCCAGGCCTGTTTCATAAGATGTTTTAGAAACAGGGTTTAAAAGCAATCTCTGGATTTCATTTCCATAGAATGATTTTTTTTTTTGTTAACTTGCTTAATTCTGATTAAGGTTAGTGACCCTCCTTGGTTTCTCCTGCATTAAAAAAGGTGTACCAACTATTTTGACCAGCTGTGTATATGCTAAAAATCATAGCTGGAATATATGATTGTCAGCTGACAGTTTCCTACAGGTGCAGGAAATCACACACATACAGTACCAGAGCACTATGATGCTGTACTTAGTTTATGCTAAGCGTTTCTTATTTTTCCCAAATAGTATAATGTTAGACCTCTCTATCTAAATAACATTATTCTGGATATCTGAGGATTCTGGTCTTGGTTTACATTGTCTCTAGCAATATTTATATTTAGTTTTTTTAGGGAGCGTTTTTTATTTCTAGCTCAGCTCCTGTTAAAAAAAGTGGAGTCTCTAAATTTTAGAGGGATCCACTTCATATAAACAATAGCAAGAGTCATGTTCAGGGCTAGTGATGATATTTTAGCATTACATTTTAGGCATTTAGTGTTGTCTGACTCTTCTTTTTGCATCTTTCAGTCTGCTAGAAAGGTTTTTCTTAGATGGCCAGACTTAACGAACATGTTGCAGTTGTTTTGAATATCCTTAATTTGATAATTAATACTGTGGGATTCAGGCCAGCTGACAGCCTTAGCTTGGTCCAACGCAAAATAGAAATATATTGGCCCCCCCCCAATGGGCTATATGGATATATTTTATCTAGTCTCTGTGTATTTGTGTGTATTCAAGTTAACATTTTCCTAGTATAAAATTATGTGTTTAATAATTCATTTAAAATTGAAAAATGCAACATTTTTATTTAGGATTAAAAAGTCTATTTCATGCATGCATCACAAGTAACATTGACTTTTTTACATTTACAAATAGATAATAAATTCCTGATCATGTTCACTCTATGGCTGCTTCTTTTGCCTGGTAGTCATGTTAGTCGTTCAAAACATTGCAAAATCTTAACAATACCTGTTGGTCTGGTCTTAATTATAACTTCATCCAGCAAAGATAGACAACAAATCCTTGACAGAAACTGCTGAGGTTTTCCACCATCAGAATTAGGGTAAAGAAGAAGTGTGAATAAATACCTTCCTAATATGTTCCGTACAAGAAACTGCATTAGTTTTCTGGTTTCTTTTTTTCTATGTTTAAACACATTTTCCCAAGCTTTGGTTATTTATTTCAAACTCTTGAACAAAAAAAAAATATATATATATACATTCTTAATATCTATGTGTTAAAAGAAATAAAACTTTTTGTATGATTGTAGCCATTCTATACTTAAGAATATCATCTTGTGCTACTTTAAAAATGTAGGATCACGTGTGCTAAGGTTAGGATGATATACCCTTATATGTTTCATTACTAATTATAAATCCTTAAGATTCTCTTGCTGATTTGTGGCTGTTTGTGTTAATATTAGACAAGATAATCGAGTCTGAGCTTTCTAACTTTGTTCAGCTCTTTCTACTGTCTTCTATTATGTCTTATCTTTAAAGCAGACCTTTGCCTAATATACAGAAATGTCACTTAAATGTCATCGTCTTATCATTTTTTTTTTTACATTGTTGGATCTATAATCTGATTTCCAGACAGAGTTTTTTTTCTTAAAGGAAAAATGTTATATTTTATTAAAAGAAATTACTTTCATCGCAATATTTGTTGAACTTAGTATATGTTGCTCATCATGTTTAAATTTGAATGTGCCACTCATTTGGTGTTGGTATTAATAATGAAATAAGCAAGCAGGCACAGTTGTTTTCTTTTCTTTTTAATTTTTACATGTATTTAATTTATGCCAAATGCTTTATTCAGCAGTTACACAATAGAAAAGAGTTGCCTGGGCTGCACAATATTAGAAAATCTTGTGATAATGACTATAATATTGGTATATATTGTGATGATGTGGTTATGCCTGTATTTTCTTAACCCCTAACCCAAATAATAAGATATTTTATTCTGCTTTACAAATACATACATTTTTTTTTAATCTTTCAGCTTTTGCTGTAAAAGGTGGTAAGATCGGATAAATTATGAATGCCTTTATCGTCCCGCAGGGTAAATTCAGGTGTGATAAGTCAAACAGAACAAAGTTTTCTATTTAAGCTGTAGAAGAAAAAATCTAATATCTATAAAAACATAGACAAAAACAGCCAGTTAATAGAACAATTTTATTGCTTTTTATTTTTATTTTATTGCAGACTTTTTAAAGGCGAAGCTGGAGACTTACGTTCAGACCCTAGAGGTGCCGGTGAAGATTGTGAGGATGGAGCAGCGCTCGGGTCTGATCAGAGCCAGGCTGAGGGGGGCAGCCGTCACCACAGGCCAAGTCATCACCTTCCTGGATGCTCACTGCGAGTGTACAGTGGGCTGGCTGGAGCCCCTGCTGGCTCGTATCAGAGAGGACAGGTGGGAGCCAAAATGAGGATTTCTGACACTGATCAGCAGAAACTGTAGAATATTTTAACCTTCAAGTTCACACCTAAAACACTTTTGGTAATTTAAGCCTCTATTAACTTAGAGATTAGAAGAGTTTGGGCTTGAATTATAGCTTGGTTTTTAACATTTATTTCACAGGAAACTGTCATACAAACCGAATGGTAATTGGTTGCAGCAGTGGAAAGTTTGTCTTGCAGTCATTCTGCTAGCCTGCAAATATTAAGAATTTTGTAGAGATGTTCTGTTTGAAGCCTATACGCAGTTTCATCTAAAAGTTAATTAACTGCTCTTAACCAAGTTATTATGTAGGTTTTCTTTTTTTTTCTTTTTCTTTTTTTTTTTTTTTGCCTTTTTCCCCTTTGGTTTATAATATCAGTAATGTTTATGAAGAACTTGCTGCAGCAAAATATGTGGGCAAGAAACCTGCCTTTTCCCTTCAAACAGATGTGTAACTCATCTCACAGTTCAAAGAACCTGAGCTGCACCTTTCCATGTTTAAACTAAACAGCTGAAATGTTGGAGCCCATTTCCTGTCATAGTTCCGAAAAGATGCCAGCTTTGATTGGTTGCGTTCGATTGGCCATTACGTCAGAGAGAACATCCTTTATCTTAACTCTCAGCGGCTTTGACGTCAGTGTTCTGTGATGCGTCATGCAGTGCACCCACTGCGGATTGTGGGAGACATGCCTGATGATTGCTTGCAGCCCTCATAATTTCCCAGCCATAGCATGCACCCTTTCTTTAGAGATCCCCAAACATTCCTCACATTTTAGATTAACTTCTTCCGGGGAAGACTCGAAGAGTTACAGTTCTTCTGCAGTGGCTCTGCCAGGAGTTGCAGAAAAGCAATTCCTCCATCATCTCATCTCAATTTATGAATTGGACATAAGTTACCAGTATTCAGTCATTCCTGCTGGCAGTGGCTTCAGCCATCTACAGAACAATGTCCATCACAAACATTATCATTACGCTGCTCCTCTATGTCCTTTGACATGTCATAAATGCACCTGTCGATGGTATTATTGTAGAGAGCAATAGCCAGCAGTTTGCTTGATGCTGTGTGATCAATCACTGTTGAAACCCTGTCCACAGCAAAGGGAGGTATTATTATTTCCTCTGCAACCTAGCTTTCTACGCTTCAACACTTGACAGGCTACTTTAGGTGGCATCAAGACCGGCAATTTCCTTTCATTTTTTTGTAGCAGGAAAGAAGATTTCTTGTTAGTAAGATAAATAAGAAAGAAGAGGTAAGATGTAATTTGTGAGTTATGTATTAGTGGATTAACAGCCAAAATAAGGAGAGACAAGAAACATAAGAAACAGAAACTAAAAACAACAAAAAACCTAAATAAGTTAAAATAGTCTAAACCTCTAAAGATGATGTTTAAAAAAGGACATTACAAAAATTCAAATACAGTTTTGCAACATGTACTGTTTTATCTTAGGACTCACAAAAGTATTTTTTTATTTTATTTACCGGTACGTTTTGTTTAGGTTTCTAAAAAAAGGATCGTCTTCAAATGTGCATGTCGGATTAGTGGATTTTATACACTGTAGACAGGTAGTTTATATATTTCCTGGTATTGTTCATTCTTCAGAAAATGTGCAGTTATATACCCCAGACTGTTGTTTTATTAAGACTCTGCAGATGCATCAAATAGACATAAAGAAAATGCATAATAAGCACTAATTTACTAGGTTTATGAAGTAGACTTCCATTTCATCTGAGCCTCTAAACATGTAAATCCGCAAGGAAAACAGGAGTGTGTCCAAAAAATCACTTCATGTCTTATTTTTTCTTGATTTTTGTCATTCCTATCTAAATGATTTGTTTCAGAAAAGCAGTGGTGTGCCCCATCATAGACGTCATCAGCGATGAGACATTTGAGTACATGGCGGGTTCGGATATGACTTATGGTGGGTTCAACTGGAAGCTGAACTTTCGGTGGTACCCAGTTCCCCAGCGGGAGATGGATCGACGTAAAGGAGACCGAACTCTTCCAGTCAGGTACTTCCAGTCAGGAGTTTTAATAAATTATTTTTTCATCTGAAACTGGAATAATAAAACCTAGCTACATATTTAACTTTTTGACAGAAAAAATGAGAGCAACTTCTCATTTGTATTACTATTATTTACTCTCATCATCAAATAGTTTTTATTCAATGAGTTAACTGCCAGACATGTTTACTCTTCCATGATGTGGTTTAAATTTAGAAAATAAATTCATTTGTATTGTATCTTAATGTTTCTCTGGCTACAAAAGGACACTTAAGAATTACTTCATGAATACACAGCTCCACGCATAATTGTTTCTGGTGGACAAAAACAAAAAAACATTTGTACATGTTTTATAAGCAAGTTCTTTTAGGGGAAATATCCTGCAAATAAAAAATCTGTTGTGCAGATTAAAGAAGCATTTATAATGATACCACCACATGTGGCCAAAACACAGAACTGCAGCTATCTTCTGCTCGTTCTCATAGCTAGTACTTAACAAGTTATTTTTTTACTTTCTTCCCCTTACCTGGAGTTTCCATTGGTGTCTAAGTTGAGCTGGATGCCGGTAGCCTCTAAGTATCCACAAAATCCATCGGCACTGAACTATTGAGGTGTCAGTCGGATCATTGAACTATGTTTTAGTTGTGAAGGGTCAACAAAAAATGCTATTTTTAAGGTATTTTTCAGTAAAAATGTACATAGTGTGTCTTTACGGATTTCTTACTACTTTTTATCACTTGCATGTACCTCAACTGTACTTTACTGTGAAGCAGTTCTTTATCCTTTTTATCCAAAACATAAATACATCTCTGTAGTGGTTTTTTCATCACATTGATCTATGGATTGAAAAAAATACTAACTTTTTTCCAGAGCTAAAAAGGGTTATAATGCAATTTTTACTTAAACATAAATAATCCATGCTGTTATCTGTATATCTGTGATGTGTATATCTGTTTTTCTTTCTTTGCCTTATTAACCTGCTCAAGTCTAACCAAGACCAGGTTTTTGTTCTTACAGTAATTTGTTGTGTGTCTTCTTTAGGACTCCCACAATGGCAGGAGGGTTATTCTCCATAGACAAAACCTATTTTGAAGAAATTGGAAGCTATGATCCAGGGATGGATATATGGGGTGGAGAGAACCTGGAAATGTCTTTCAGAGTGAGTGACTGAGAACATGATGACAGAGAGCATGCTAGTTCTTCTACCTGCATGCATATTTTATAGACCTCCTTTATTTACATAAACCATTGTACAATCTGCTTGAAATTCATAAGATAGGTGTGCAAAGACCTATATCTCTTTCTCTGTCAGTCAGAAGAGTTACACAAACACTCTAGACACTGGGTTATATCATATAACTCCAATACGCCACAAGACTCTAATGTACTCTTCATTTATTGACTCCTGTGTATGAAATCCCTTAAAGAAGTGGTTGTTATGGAAACATGGTGAGCTCACTTATTTTCCTTTTCACTGCAGCACAGTGATAAACATTGCTCCAGTTGTTATAAACTTTTTAAATGTTACTTTGGGTATTCTTCTCGGCAGCTTAGTGTTAGTGGCCATTTCCTTTTAGTCATGAAATCACTAAAGATCAACAATATTTGCACTTATATGCATTTACATTATATAATATTTTATCTAATTACTTTCTGTCTGTCATCGTTTGTCCTGTCAGCACATGCCCAAGTGGTTGTGGTGTTAGGACCACAGATGAAACATTAAAGTAATTGCTGCTTAAATTATTGCAGCCTACATATTGCCAGAAAGGTGATATTGATCAAGTAAGCACATGCTGCTGAACATCCTGCAGAAATCAAGCCAGAAGCTGAAGAATTCTTGGTTATTTAGGTACAACTTTTGCACACTTTGGGTGCATATTTCTTTTTTTTTTAAATCTCCAAAAAGGAAACTATTCTTGCTTCTGCCACTGCCTTTATGTAGTGGACTATAATTCCAGCGTTTGATGCTACGTTTATTTTCCAGCTGCTATAATGTCAAGCTCTGCAGATGTGTTTGACCTTTCTTCACATCCTTCTTGTGTTTGATGATAAGAGACCTACAGTATGTGACTTTGTACAGTTTTTTTATACTGCCTAATTATTGCTCTAAATGTACTTGGGGCAAATTTAGGTGCCTTGCAAATTAGTTTTTAGTTTTTCTTAATACCAAACACGTTCATATCTGTAGCCTAACTAAATACATGCAATGTATCTCCCTAGGTAGCTTTTTTGCTAGGGTGCCATTATTTTTTGTCTCACTTATTTTGAGAAATTTCGAGGACATTTTCCCTTTGCAATTTACAAGCATTTTCATTTTGGAACCAAGTCATGCATTGAATTGAAATGTTTTCAAATATTTGTTCTACTCCTTGGATCTGTAAATTAAAGAAATGCATAGGAATCATCTCCATAATAACCTGAGATATGAAAAAAACATTTAAATCAGAACAAAAAACTTTGTTTCTGCAGCTTTTCAAGGTCAAAATTGATTTTATCTTAATTTCTTTGCTACTTTTTAATTTTACTTTTACATTTTGTTTTGTTTTCTTTGAATGTGATGTTAGAATTGCTTTCTTCAGTTTATTTTTTTGCCTTAATTATAATTTATTTAGCCATGTTCATTTTCTCTTGAATTGCTTTTAATAAATTTTTACTATTTAAAATGTGTTAATCAAATGCATTTGATTTTAGTTCAGCTCAGTTAATTTACCATAATTTCTAAGGATGCCAGTAATTGTGGTACCGGAACATTAGATGTAGCTATAAATCCTGATTCTGTTTTCCTTTCAGTTTCATCCCACTTAATAAATGCACTCAAAACAAGAGATGGATATTTTTAACATTTTCTTGGAAAATCGTGCTACTTCTATAATCAGCCAATTCTAGTTTTAGTTTTTTTTACATCTTTACAGGTTGCAACAATAACTGTGGTTTGTATTGCATTCTATAGTTGAGACTTTGTTTTTCATAAAAATGTTTTTTTTAGATCTGGCAGTGTGGCGGTTCCTTGGAAATTGTAACATGCTCACATGTTGGGCACGTTTTCCGCAAGGCCACGCCATACAGCTTTCCTGGAGGTACTGGCCAAGTTATCAACAAGAACAACCGACGGCTGGCTGAAGTCTGGATGGACGAATTCAAAGACTTCTTTTACATCATCTCACCAGGTACAAAACACAACAGCTGTTGCCGAGTAACCGAAAATTTCTGCTGCTTTTAACATAGAAAAGCACCTCTTAGACAATTTAGAAATGGTACTTGTTGTTAAGGTTTAAAGGAATTTGTAGATGAGTAAAGGATTTGCTAATGTTTTATTCAGCACACATTTATGTTTAAAAGCAGATAAGGGTAGTCATTATCCAGCCTCACTGGGAGCCCTGATATTACATTTAGCAAATTGCTCTGAAAGGATGTCTGTGCTCTATTTTATTATCTTATTCTCTTATAGAGTCTTTTCTTCTCATCCATTTAATAATTCACATTTCTCTCGGTTCATATGTTGGAATATAAGGCTGCTTTGTCATCTTTAAATACGCCTAATTCATTTCTGCTTTCAGACACATTTGTGGAGCTCTTGTGAACTCAAGTTCAGAAATTTGTCAAAATTGGCCCTCTCTCCAATAGAGTTTTGGCGCATATGGAAAAACTAGAGCAACAGGACTGTGCAGCTTGAGAGATGAGCACCCCTCAATCTGTTGCCTCAGTAATGTGATTACCCTTTAGCAGAAATCGCTTTTCTGGAAATCTCTGGCTAAGTGTTCTAGATGGCTTGCCAACCTATAAGGGATCATCCTTAATCTGCAGATCTTCCTGCACAAATTGTGACCTTCTCTGCAGCTCGGTCAGGCAGGGCTCTCCATGGACAGGTGTGCAGACAGAGCCGGCGTTGTGATGGATGACTTTTGCTGTGCACTGTGGCCCCACAATGCATTTCTGTTCCTCCTGGACATTATTGTGGATGATCTGAGCCGTGCTGCTGCCAGAGCTCTCTTATTGGCACAGAGAAGCCTCTTTTTTGGAGGGTCCTGTAGTCATACCAATAAACAAGTAATTGCTTCCTTTTTCGTTCTTTGCAACATGTTTTAGGATCAAAGAAGCTTTTTGTTCTCTGAAACATTATCTACCCTCCCTGTGCCTTGCTAAAGTATTCACATCACACAGACTTTTTCTATTTCCTATACTCCAACTTAAAACTGCCTTGTATTTCATGGGAATTTTGAGTGACAGATAGACACAGTGGCCTGCACGATTAAATAGAAATAAAGAAAGACATGTTTTTCAACATTTCTTGCAAATATAAGTTCCCTACAATAACAAAAACAGGTACAATTAAGAGGCTCATCAGATCATAGACTATTTAAACAGTTGTCTTCAGGTCTTACCACATTTGTTTAGACAGAAATCAGGTTTCTGATTTGAATGGATGATCTTAACACATGAATATGCCTTGATATAAAACACTTCACTATTACTCTGGCTGTATTTTAAGGCCTTTTTTCAAAGATTCCCCCTTTCCCATGCTTTTGTCTTTTTCAGGTTAACTCTTAACCGAACTGTTACTCTTAACCACTGTCTTCAAAGTTTTCCAGGCCAAGGACCCCCAAACTGATGGCAGGATGGAGCGGGGACCCCTAATTATATATATATATATATATATATATA